TTAAATTTTCGAAAATATCGGAGGAGTGTTTTATTTCCTAAAATTGTGGTATCTGCCTTTACGGGTTTAGTTTTATATTTGTGCCATGATTTTAGTTGCCTAATTACTGGGTCAAGATTTTGATATTGTTTCAAGGTATTAATTGTAATTTTATCTGTTGGGGGGAGAAAAATGTTTTCAATTTCTAATTTAGATAAATGAATTGTGTCAAGTGGGTCATGGAGGTCAAAAACTTGATTTATTGTGTATTTTGAATCATTTGTTTGTGGTCCTCATAAATTTATTTTATCAGTTAGATTTTCTTTTTCAATTAACGGAAAAAGGTCTTTTTTATGCGAGTGTTGTTTTACTCTTTTTTGTTGGGTGTTATGTTTCATCCATTGTGAGTATGGAATTGGTTTGAAAGTTGATGTTCCAAGTAGATCAACTTCGTAGTGGTTATTTTGGCAATCTAAGTAAAGTGGGAAGTGTTGTAATTTATTTATCTGTGATTTTTCAATGTCAGTTTTTACTGCATATTTGCATTCTAGTCGGGGTGATGTTTCGTTTTCTGCAAGGTAAAATTTTATATTCTTGGGTATTGCAACTGTAGTTTTTCGTAAGTAATTCAGGTGGTGTATTTCGACTTAATGTATCTGGTAATGCAAGATTTTTTCCTGCTGTCCAAACTATATGTAAGTTTGGAAATTTCATTAGAATTAATTGAAATATATAAACTCGGTGATTTGGGTTTGACTTTTGTGTAAAGAGAAAAATGATTGGTTTGTGATCTGTGAATAGAACTGTTTTGATCCAAGTATCAGAAATTCATATTCTCTAAGTGTATAAATTATAGCTGTACATTCTCTCATTAAAGTTGAGAGTCGTAGCTCTGCTTGAGTGAATAATCGAGAATTTGCTGATATAAGGTTCATTTTATTTGTACCATTGTGTGATTGTAATAATGCTGCGCCGATGCCAAAATTTGAAGCATCGCACATTGCATAGAATGGTTGATTTGGATCTGGAATTGTATTTGAAATTTGTTCAGTTAGGAGTTTTTTAATTTCTTCAAATCGTGTTTGATGTTCTGTATTCCATTCAAAATTATTTTGTTGTCTGAGTATATTATAGAATGGTCTTAAATATAATTGCATTTTATAAACGTATTTGCTTAAAAAATTTAACATGCCAAGGAATTCTTGGATTTTCTTTTTGTTTGTTGGTGGTTGAAGTTTTTGAATAGCATCAATGCGTGATTTTAATGGAGTTATTGTTTTTCTTTCTATATTATGTCCTAAAAATTTAACTCGTGTTAAAAAGAAGTGTGACTTATCGGGGGCGGCCTTCAGATTTTCGTTCTGAAGTATTTTGTGATAGTGTTCTAAAACTGTAAACATTTCTTCTTTTGTCTGTGATTGCATAAAAACATCGTCTAAATAGGTGATTGCGTTTTTTTTGAGTATTAGTGGTCTAAAAATTTTGCTCATAAAAGCTGAAAATGGTGCTGGTCCTATGGATATTCCATAGAATAGGCGGTTGAATTCATATTGTTGATTTCCAATAACAAATTCTGTTAAACGTCGTGATTGTTCATCTAGTGGCATTTGATTGTATGCACTATTCATATCTGCGGTTGTAAAGTATTTTCCGTTTATTTTTGTTAAAATAACTTGTATTGGTTCAATAGGCCAATTGCATTTTGATTCGTCTATTAGTGAATTAAGATATCTAGCGTCTAAAACTATTTTTAATGATTCTCCTTTTGCTAAGATGATAACAGGGTTAATAAATGTGTTACCTTTTGGTTGTTCTTCTTTGTTTACCGGTGAGATAATTTTGTATAGCTCTAAAATATCGAGTAATCTGTTCACTTTATCGTGTAAGTGAATTGGTACTTTACTTGCTCTTTGTTTTTTGAAAACTGAGTCAGGTTTTAACGGAGATGTAGTGATGAACTGATTTTGCCAACATCAAATTTGGATGTTGCATAAACTGATGAATATTTTATTAGCTGTTTGGCTAACTTATCAAATTCGTTTTGTGTTATTTGTGAATGTTGGAAGTTAAACATTGTTAAAAATTTCTGTTGATCCTCTGTATAGTTATTTATGTTGAATGTGGGTTTGAAATATGGGGTTTTTGTGAAATAATCTGTATTTATTTTTTCATTACTTATTATATTATTTATGGATAGTTCTTCGTTAAGAATTGTGGATTGACAAATATCTAATAATTGGAGTATATTATTTACGCGGTATGCTTTTTCCATGCATTGGTGATATTGTAGCGTTGGTTTTGCAATATCCTAAAAGTCCTAAGGGTAATGTTACTTGATACGGTGTATTATTATATACATGTAACGAAATGATGTCTGAATTCGTATTTTTCAAATATTTTATGGATGAAATTGTGATTTTGAAAAACTTATGGATAGGTTTGAATTCAAAGTCTGACATAAAGAGTTGTTGTTTATTTTGATTTTTATCATATTGGTGAACTTGTTTTATTGAAAAGTTATATATGTTTCCTGATAGTGGTTTCAGGTGTTTCCGTTGTTGGTTATAAATTGGATAAAATTTTGAAAAGAATGGTGGTTGTTTATTTAATCTTTGAAAAAATGTTAGGGCTGTATTTTTTGTTTTTGTGTACTTATCTTTGATTAGTATTTTACTATTCAAGATGTTGATTGTTGGTATATATTTCGAGATAAATGGTATTCCAATGATATTGTGTTTAATATCAGTGATATGAAATATTTGCTTAAATGGCTTGTTTAAAATTTTATTTTGCTCCATTGTTCTTGTGGGGAGAAAAAATAATTGAACTTTTCCATAGTTTACTAATGTTGATCCTTGTGCTGTTGCTAGTTTACTGGAGGTTGCAAGAGGCGTTAATTTTGGGTGTAATGTTTTGATTTCATTCCATGTGGGAATATTTATTATGTTTGATTCTGCTCCTGAATCAATTAAAAAATCAATTTCAAGATCTGGTGGTTGAAATTCTTTGTTTCCTGGACTTTCTAAAAGAAATGGTATTGTTCAAATTTTTTCTTTGGTTTGTTCTTTTTGTACATTTTGGTAGATGTGATTTGTATTCAAGCATTTTGTTTTGTCATTTTCATTGGGTTTATTTACAGTGTTTATTTCGTTAGTTTCTTGTGCCATTTGTGTAGTATGGATGGGTTCAATATAATAATTGTGAAGGAGTTCCAATTGATTTTCATATATATGTGATGAAAAAGGTTGTTCATATATAATAGGTTCGTAGTCGTTTTCGACTGCTATCATATTTATGGAGATAGTGTTTTCTGTATCACTTTCTGTGTCTGATGATCCACAGTTTATTTGATTTAGTTGTAGCTCGTTATTTCCTGTGTCGTCAAAACCTGGGGGGTCTGATGTTGTTTCTTCATTTGATTGTACTTGATTAATATGTCTTTGATGTTTGGTTGTGCTACTTCTGTAGCGATGTTTAGAATTATTATAATGGTTATTATTTCTATGTGGTGATTGAGAATAATTTCTATATCGATTATTATAACTTGAATTTCGATTTTGTGAATTGTTTCGTGATCTGTTTTGATAATTATCGTTTGATCTGTGATAGTTTGATCTGTTATATGAGTTATTTCTTGATCGATTGTTCGGGTAGTTCTGATTTCGGTTGTTCGAATAACTTCTATTTCGATTATTTGAATAGTTTCTATTTCTATTATATGATGAGTTTCGTGATTGATTGTTTGGATAGTATTTATTTCTTGTGTTTGATTGGGAATTGGATCTAGACACAAATTGTGTTGTATTTGAATTTGATCTGGAGTAGTTATTTCGACTATTTGGTCGATTATAATGATTTTGTGAAGAATTCTGTGTATTTCTTCGTTCTGGTAATCTTCCTCTATAACTTGAGTTATATGGTGATTGGTTCCTTGTGTAATTAGTATTGTTCGGAAGTGGTTTTCCTGAACTGTTGTTGCTGTATACATTTTTGTTTGGTAGATTTTGATCTTTCTTCATGTATTGATAGAATGATTTATTTGGTTCTTTATATTTTTGAGGCTTGTTTTGGTTATCCTGTTGTTTTTGTCTACATTCAGAAATACTATGTCCGTATCGTCGGCAATAATTACACCATTTTTTGAAAGATGGTTTGCCTTTAAAGTTTGGGTGTTTTTCATAAATATTTAGTATTTCAGTGATTTTTTCAACGAGGTCTGTATCTGATTCCTGTATGTTGTTGATATTTGTGGTGTTTGTTTCGATTCGATTAACATATTGTAATTTCAGATTTTCTGTTTCTTCAAGTTTCATTGTGATTTCCGCTTGCTCTAGTTTGTCTACTAGTTTTCGAAAATCTAAATCGGGCTCTCGAATTGAGGAAGGATGGGATGCTCTCTTTTTTATTGCTATTTTTCTTAATTGAGGTGTTAAGGTCATCATTAAAATTTCTGTCATTTTTGTGTTTTTGTATTTTCTATTTTTTCTCAAAATATAGTTTAGATCAGGTTCCAATTCGCTCATTATTTAAAAATTATTTCAAAGCCAAATTTTTAGGCGAAAGATGTGTGAAATATGAAATTTTGAATAGCATTCCATTTGGCAGAGTAATGTATTTAGAAAAATAATTAGTCTTTCTTAGTACTAGTGATTGAAAATGAAATGACTATACTATGCATTATAGTTCTCAAATTTAATACATGCTCAATAATCAAAATTACCACCTATTGTAACATATCACCGCATATCAAGGTAATTTTAACCCTTTTTGGGTGTGTTATATTATCTAGCGCCACTATCCCCCTTGCAAATCTATTAAATGAGTTTTAATAGTCATATAATGATTTCTGCGTATGAATCTATATCTTTAAATGGTTTATTGTTATGGGTAAAAATTCAGTTAGGATTTTCGCCAGGTTTTTAATAACTTATGGTTTAAATATCATGAAGAAAGAAGAAAGAAAGTTTAATGGTCATGTAACAATTTGCGCCGACATTAATTATGTCTTACTTTTGAAACAGGAGAATGATGAGCAGTAGCTTTGGAGCACTTGAAGGCAAAACCGGGTTTGTTCTTTGCTACCTGTCAATGTCATGCATTTTCGTCCACTAACTCACGATTGCCAATTGATGTGTTCTCATTTGCTATCCCAACGCGCTAAACAGTTTCTTAACCAAAGTTTTCAAAATAATTAAAACATTTCTGTTAATATATTTTGAATTATTATTTGACATTTAGAATTGCCAGTTTACCGGTAGTTGCATTTATGCCGGTCCTAATTTCCCAAAGTTTTTTTGAATGAAATGCATTTAAATGTCAGGTTTGAGTTGTGTTTTGTTTTGAGAAATGCTTACTTTTGTTCAGTCTTTCGAAGAAAGGATGGAATGTTTGTGCTCGGGGTTCTCTTGAATTTTTAACTAGCCGTTTTGTAGCGAAGTTTTGAACACCATCTGAAAGGTTTTGATTTCTTGAGCTCAAATAGAAAAATATACGTTACCTGTGATTCATTTTCCTAAAGATCATGAAAATTGCCCATTTGGATAATTTCGGACAATGCTTTTAACATGCTATTAACACGAAGGGGCTTTTTAATCCGTCTCGGAAATTGATCGGAATTGACTCGAGGCAAGCTATTCAATTTAATAATACGTTTTCAGATGCTAAATGGATCACTTTATTCTTTGTGCGGTGAAGATTGTCAAAAATATATAAATTTTTGTTGTGTCCATTGAGAGTTAGTTTTTGAGTCGATGAACGTATTGAAGACTCTTAAAAAGGTCTTGGAGATTTTCTGTGTTTTTTTTCAGGAAAAGTCTTAAAATGCTCTAATTACGACAGATGAACATTCATACGCATTAATGCATTTATGACTTGTGTTCTTTGTTTTTTCCAACTGTCTGTGAGCTTGGTTTTTCTTCATCAGGTTACAGAGTTTCCTATGAAAAGCATTCGGTCATAATATCGCTAATGGACAATTTTCATATCCGGTTTACAAAACTCTTTGTTGCTAAGAATTGTCAAGATACCTAATCTAGTTCAACTGTTTGATGGAAATGTGAAATACCTGCTAAGTTCTGGGGTCAATCATTTTTTTCTGTCAAATTTTTCGTCGATAATAATTTTCATTTATATGTTTGCATGAGCTTATGAATTGACACATAGTTTGTCCAATATGAGTATATTTGAGCTGTTATAAGCAAATCTCAATCAGTTTTGGTCTATCGCGGTTTGATTTTAAATTTGTTCATTTGCGATAGCAAGTGTTGCAACCGGGTACTAGCCATTTTCGAGGTACCAGTTTACCGTGTTTAGTGCGGAGGTAATGTCGATGCTTGAGACGACGAAGATGAGGTCTTCGCTTCAAGTCAGCAGCTGATTTTTTTAAATTATTTTTTTCTGGGAGAAATAATTTTTCGGATTATTTGCTTATTTCTTGGTGGCTCACTTTCCAAATCATGCAATTCTTTTCTGATTGTAGCAAGTTTTGCTAGAAGTGAAAAGCATGTTGATTCGTTCCTGTAATGTGTGAATTTCCTCTGCTTTTGTCTAATCTCTTTCTTTCAACTTTTTTTTTGCTCAAAAGGTTTTTTCGGCTTGAATGGTTTAGACAAATGTTTTATCGGCTTATTCGCCAATATTTAAGGTTGTTTTAAAGGCACAAGAACATTTGTATGCTTTTGAGAGTTTCAGCAGGTGGAAATTTTGTAGCTCTAATTGATTTATTATTATTTTTTTTCGGTTCAACGAGCGTCCACCCAAAGTTTTTTGGCTTATGTGGCTCCCGATAAGTTTTTCTGAATGCTACTTTAATGCTGTCGATTGTGCTTCGCGGAATGTTTTTCTCAGATAGAATATCATTAGAGACAAACGTATGAATTTTTTGTAGATAGGTTTTTAATGTAGATTTTTTTCGGGCTTAAAGGCCATCGCCTTTCTTCTAATTTCAAGATGCATCGCAAGTGGTGCGAGGCTCGCTTCGCCTATGTGTTATATCAAAAGTATTTTTTTTTTACATCAAAACCACTTCATTGACTTTTACGGGTAGTCGGAACTTTCTGTGCTTTGCCCTGATACGAGCAGTTTTGCCTCTATTTAGATTTAGCGTATATAGAAAGGTATAGAATTTTCCAATTAGCCTTGAGTTTTATTGTGTCTACCCCGCAGTTTTAATAGGAAATACTATCCGCGCTTTGAATATTTTCATTCAAATCTACATAGCTTGTCAATTTCCTATTTTTTTCAGCTATCCCGTGGCTGGCGAAATTTCTCCCTCTCCTAGCCAAGTACATCTTTTACCCAATGGCTACACACCAGTGGTGACTAGTCAGCCAACTGAAATAACAGCTCTTGTGTCGGAGAACAGCACTAGTGATATTCAGGCTGCAGGCAGCGGTGGAATTTCGTCGGGAGACATTGAGCATGTACTGTTCGGAAGAGCGTTGTTGCCAACGGACACATTGGTAAGTCTCTGAAGACATTTTGAGGCTTAGTAAATTAAGGTGAGCAGTGACATTGAATTTGGATTTCTGTATAAGATGCATCAATGTAACTCTTCAGGTTACAGGCATGAATGTGATCGGTTCGAATTTTTTTAGTGTCTAATTAAAACACAAGCGGAGCTCTAACACAAGTGAATCCTAGTGCTTAAACTTAAAGTTTTTCCGACGTATAAAAACGATCTGTTCTTAAAGACCATTTGTACATAGTCTGCTGGAAAAATAAATTATATCGATATTTCATTAATTTAGTTAGTTCTTGAAGGTGGTTAAAGTAAGTGATCGAAGTTTTATTTAATTTTTAAAGATTCGTTGTAAGCACCTGTCAAAGCTCTTTGCAATGATACGTTGTTTGTTCTTTTTACACAAGCAATGCTTGAGTTATAGTATGAACTATGTTTTTTTCCAACCTAAGTCGCAAATATTGTTGCGACGCAAATGCTTTTGCGATAAAATGTGTTCATTTGAAATTGTTCATTTTAATCAATAACCAGCTATTAAGTACAGCCAATGCTAAGGATTTTAACACACACTATTATTGTTCCATTTTTCGTAACGAAAGTAACGGAATATTTGTGCTCGGGGTCGTTTTTTTTCTTCAGACAAATTTTTTAAGTAGCCGTTTTTGACGGGATTTTTTTACCATTCAAAAAATGTAGTTGTCCTGAGCTTAAATTTGGACAGATATTTAACCTGTGATCATTTTACTTTATCACTTTTAATATGGCGTGTGTGCGGATGATTTTCTCAAATTCTCAAATTAAAAAAAAAATCAATTTATTTTTATTACATTTAATTTTTTTGTGTTATTACTGCTCCATAGACTGCTCTATAAATTCTTTTTTTTTCAAATTGACTGGTACTGCTAATGCGTCTTAATTGGCGTGCTTCACTTAGAAAATTTTGTAGACTCAAAGTTTCAGTTTTTGTCCCAGTAGCGTTATCGGTCATATTTTTGCTTGTGTATGCGAAGTGCAACTTCGCCTCTGTGTTTATATCTGGGATCTATGATTGTTTGAAAATTAATTGTTGTTTATTCTTGTAGCAAGACTTCGACCGCTTCAAAGTGATGAATCTGAGCAAAAACATCTTCTACACACTTCTGGTGGCACAGCAGTCCATTATCAATGCTATCGAGAACCACAATCCCTACTTCAGTCCCACAATAAACACTGGTTCTTATCTTTATTCTCATTTTTTCATTGATGAGGGCATTTTTTATCGGTGATTGAATTGAGTTCTCCGTAAAGCTCATTGGAGATAGAAATCTTGGAAATTAATAATTGTAGTGGTCGTATGTTTTAGCATCGCGTCAGTTTGATATGTGTTCCAAGCTGCGACAGTCAATGAACAAAGTGCGGCAGTGTGAGTGTCCAGACGACATTGTTGCGGTAGTGGGAACCAACTTGGCCAGTCTGGATGCTGAAAATATGGTATTGTGGGATGAGTTTGTGAAGGCGGCTACAGTGATGTTGTGTGACATAGACACTGATATGGAGATCCTGGCTCCCAATTACAATCTAAATACTCATTTGTTCACATTGCATCATCAGATGATGGTAAGTCTCTCATTATTTGAACTGCGCTAAACATAATTTGCAGGAATATTACGGCTCTGTAGATTTTCACATCCTTGTAAAAAGCTAAAAAGCATGTCTAAGCTTGTTTGATTGCCTTATGTATGCCAATTTGATAACTTGCTGCTGAAAAACTATATTAAGAAAAGTGAATCATTTTGGTTAATTTTTGTTTCAGATTCAGAAGAACTCAGAAGCATTTTTCTACAGTTACAGACAGAAGGCATTGGCCGCTGCTTTTGCCTCGTAAGTCTCGTTTGCTTAATTTAATTAAAAGGAGGTTTATTCCTCAAATTGAATTAACCACGTGATATCATTTAGTCGACTAGGACATTTCATAAATAACAATGATTACAAGTCAGTTTAATGGTATGATTACCCCACATTAACCCAAACTTCAATCAAATCATGACAAATGTACATCACTGTCTCGTCTAAAGGGCGTTTGCTTTGGACCAACTCCAAATAATTTTCCGACCCATCGAACTACAGTAAAGAGAACTCCCCTTCCTTTTGAATTATTTCTAGGAGTGTAAGTATAAATAAAAGTGGCAGCTATCACCATTGAAGCACCTAGAGCAAACTTCAGGTCCAGGTTGGTTGAGTCGTTTAAAATATAGTAGGAGCAGATTGTTGATGAAATAATTGCGACTGCATTTGCAAATCCTTTCAGAATGTTGTCAGCATATTTGATTACGGCCGCAACTATAAGACCGCCTACTGCGTTGAGAATTATGACTGCCCATACTGAATTATTGTATCCCTGAAAATTCATTCACTCAAGACGATTTAGCAAATGATCTGAATATTTGAAAATTTGAGATGCGAGCCAAAATTTAAACCCCTCCCGTCCCGTCAAGTTTTTCTCGAGGGGGGGGGGGGGGGGGGGGGGGGTTCTTTGAAAATTGCCGAAAATTTTGTCGACCCTTTTTGTAAGTCGACCAAATCGATTTTCCGAGCTCTCCCAAAGCCTTGAAAAGACCCTATTTTGACCAAATTTTCTGCGCCGCAAGCAAGATTTTGAAAAAAAAAGGTTGTTCGAAATTTTTGACCAAAAAACTGCGTTTATCGCGCGCTTCCTCAAAATTACAAAAAATGGGTAACTCAAAATAGTAAAAAGGGGACCCTTTGGGTGGGTAGGGATCGGAATCCTGAAGCCTGCTCCCCCCTCCCACTAAATCCGCTACTGCCTCCCGCTAGGAATATTCGGTGTAAAATAGAAATAATTACCTGGAAGAATCCATCTTTTTTGATGGCGTCATGGTCGTAGTAAAAACTGCCAATCGTTCCGAAAACGAATCCGTAGAACCCTAGTTGAATATTGCGGATCCAAACCGAAGTTTTACTTGTTTTGAGAAGCTTCTCAAAATAAACTCCGGCGAATGCACTAGTAAAGCAAGCCATGAGGATAAATATTAGGCCTTTGAAGTTGGAGGTTTGAGCGAAACTAGATACGAAATCTTTTTCGCCCGTGAAGACTTCCTTTGGAATTTGAACCAAAGAAACTCCGCAAAAAAGGATCACTGCAACAGAGAAGAAAATTTAGCTCAATTTTATTTGTGGGAGGTTATTATTGAATTGTTGAAAATTTGAGGGCATTGTTTTACCTAAAGCGATCCATTTGAGCAAGGAGAGGGTCTTGCTAAGGATGATTGCGGATAATATTGCAGTGGTGAATATTTTCAGCTGATATGATACTTGGTATGTTGGAGCATCCAAGTTGCTGAAAAAAGGTTATGGTTGACAGCAAAGATCAAAATGTAGTTTTCAAATTGAGTTAATTGGTTTTATTTTAATTCAGTTTTCTGATTGTGTTTCTGTTCACAGATTTTTCTCTTTCAATGTTTTTAATTCTCAACTTCAATTTTTTTTATATAATAAAAGGTACCAATCATAAATTGTTCTTGAAATTCAAAGAGCTTTAATGGCATTTCGAAAATTGAAGTTAATGAAAACAATAAATTAGTTTTTTTTCTGTTTCCTTGCGTTAAGTGCTCTTTTCCAACTGTTAGTTGGCTATGTTCTAGGTTTTTTGCAGTGTAAAGTTTCAATACCATGTGCTTCGCTTTTAATAAGAAGTAGTTAAGTCATTTTCAAACCTGATTGCGTGGAACAAGAAGTTGTTCTGGAATACATAAAGCACCGCGGGTATTGCAACATGTTTCATTTCGTGCACGCTGCCCAAGCCCTGCTGCAGAGTTCGTTTGTACGCGCCCAGGTTGTATCCACTCCCGTGAAGAACAAGCAGGAAACTGGTGAACAGTTTGAGCAGCTCTGCCATCACGACTGCGGTGGAGCTCAAGTAGTCTTTACCATCTGGTTTGTCACCTGTCTGTTTGGTTGATATCTAAACCGAATTTATTTTTACGCGTGAATTACCGTCACAATTTATGCTGGCATTTTTATGTTGACCTAAGCATTGTAGTCCGTTTTCTTCGAGCGTATAAAATTCGAACCATCTCGCTCAGGAATCCGACGGCCTCACAACCCAAGGATCCACTTTGGTTCTATTTTTGAAACTCAATTTTTGGCCGACTAGTCCTTAAAATTTCCTGAAGGCCTTTTGATTCATTGCAGCGCAGTTTTTTTTTCCTGAAAATGACTTTAAAATGAGTTAAGTGCTAAAAAGTACCTTAGAATAACGCATTGTCAAGACAACACTGGATGTTTGGATGACTAAGGCGAACAGGGAGACCCATTTCATGTAGCTTTTTTCTGTGGAGGCGCTTGGAGCTGGCATTGTTAAAACAGTCTTCGTTGCTAAAGTGTGAGGTTTAGAATTCTTCGCGTAAATGAATAATTGATACTGTCATTGTTAGGTTAATGATCATGATAAATAAAATCTTGTTGTTGTAGGATTTGAAGTATTCTGAGTTTAGAAGTTATAAAGGGTTATAAATTAAAAGTTAATGCGAAGCTCAAAGTATAAAGTAACAATTAATAAGTTACAAGCGTACAACAGTGTTAAATGATGGAGCGTCACTGTGCATTATAATGCGTAGTAGGATGGTGAATAATGGTAACATTTTGGAACAATAAAACACAACTGTGGCGGTGATGTGATGTTGTTTCTCTTATTAAAAATGAACGTACTATATTATATGCTTGCGTGTGGGACTATTTTTTACATGCATACGACGTGGAGTTTGTTCATCTTCTGTCTGATAGAAAATCCATTTCCTGAAGCGATTTTCTTGTGTATGTGAAAATGCTGTTTATTCAGACTAAATGAAGTTTATTCACTAGAAAAGTTCGTCCTCGGAAAGATGGCTAGAATTGCATTTGAAATTGACCGAATGAATTCTCGATCAAACGAACTTTCTCAAATGAATTTTTCAAACGAATTTTTTGGCTGAGTTGAGACTTAATTCGATCCTTCGCAGTTCTTATTCTCTGAATTTTTCGAATACCGTTAAATAAAATTGAGCACAGAGCCAAAGAAAAGCGCAGGCTGGAACCAAGGCTAATATCTATACCCTGAAAGCAAATGAAGTTATCGTGGTCACCCGTTTTAACCTTGAAGCATTGGTTAAATACTAAACAAATGTAGACTGTTTTGCGAAACTGGTTTGTTTCAGAAGGTAATTTGTGAAGTAAGTTGGTCGTCGTAAAGAAATTGTATAACTAAACCAACGAAACTAAAAGATACATGTTAATCCATGTTGTGCTTTTGTGCTTATTGAGTCAGATTCCCCAATAAAATTTTATGTGTGAGCGAAAATAACCTACGGATGTGCTGGTAGTACACACTGTTTTTTTTATTGCCCCAGCCCTGGATCGGACTCAGGGTTTTATCGAGGGAAGTGGCATATTTTCAAAAAAAATTCAAAAAAAGTCGACTTTTTTCTTAAGTGAAAAAAAAGGTCCAAAAAAGTCGTTTTAAGCTTTTTTCGAAAAGTTGACCAAAAAATTGCGTTATTTCGGCGCTCGCTAACTCAAAATTAGTATATATTAGCGCCTTTGAAAAAAAATTGTTGCCAGTCAGCAAGAAAAACATCCGAATGGAGAGGAACTTGGTATTCGGATGTGTTTTTAGTTATTTTTTAGTTTTGCTTTTCACGTTAAAACAGGAGCACAAATGAAGGTCTGATAAAGGTCAATGTTTTTGTGGTCGAACAATAAGGTCATGTTTGTGAACTTGTTTCCTTTTGTTAAAAGTAACTGGAAACAATACTAGAAACAGTGCGACACTAGAAACAGGATAATTTAATTTATCCGGACAAAACGAATGAAACTTGAAAAAAAAATTTTTTTCAAATTTGTTTGATTTTAGACAAAAAAAAATGTAGACAAATTCCGCTAAAAATTTCAGCTAAATTAATGTGGTGCGACTTATTTAACAAACTCCGACAAGTTCAACCCCAAAAAAAGACCGATCAATTTTTTGTCAATCAGAAATAACATCAAAGCTATTTGTTCAATTGCTAGCAAAATTGTGGCACAAGGAGCCTCTTATGTAGCTCAACAGTATCTGGGAACGGTATGATTTCCAAAAGCTTGAGTTTTCAAATAAAAGATGATACTTGTATTGTAAAATTATCAATTGAGAAGATTGCACCCTTATTAAATTTTGTTGGGCTATTTAAGAGGTTCTAGGTTTAATTTGGTTAGTAAATGAACTGATAATTTTTTGTGAGAAAACTGATTGACTAAAAAACCGCAAATGATTCGTTTATGGGTAAATGTATGTGCTAGTTGAATTGCGCTAAATAAAATCTGCGCAAAATTTGCCGTGATCAGTTTCTGTCAAAAGTCATCCCATTTTAAGAAAACACGTTTTTAATTTCAAGCTTTATACGTTTTGCCCGGAAAGAAGACAGTTCTTAGAATTAAAACATTGAGACATAAACCGGTTCCCGGTCACCAAATATGACAGCCGTTAAATAAAGAAGACTAGATTGAGTTTGGAAACAATTATCAATTATGGATATCTCAACTAATTATAAGGCTCATTTTGGTATAGTTTGGGTCATGAGCAATTGAACCGGTAATTTTGGCGTAATTTTTGATTAGCTGAAAAAGCCAAAAATGATCTGTAGCATTAGAAATTTTATAGCATCTGTTCTTTGCTTTATTGATGGCTAATGTTTGCCGATCATTAAGCATCCATGGAGTAGATGTTAGTGCATGATAATCCTAATATACTGGTTCAAAGCCGCTCTAAGCATTAAATATTTTGAATATTATGTGGCATTTTTGCTACATAGTATTAGCAATTTATTAGCATCTTTAGCTGCATCATTGGTGGCTAGTGTTAACACTAGCAAAACTTGTGTAATATTATGAACTCTTTTTTTCCAACCGAATTCGGAAATATTATTGTTCAATTTGAAGTTCATTTTGATCAATAACCAGATATGAAGTATAGCCAATGCTATGGATATTAACACAGACTATTATTTTACAAATAGCACTTTAGCTTCAAGGTATCATAGATCTGTAGCGTAGAGGTAGGGAAGGAGACCCGCAACAAAATAAGAGGGTTCGAACCCTTGGCAGAGTCGGATGTATTTAATGAACTTTTTCGTATACTAGTTAATAAAAATGCGTCCCCTCTATAAATTGAGACATGTTAGTTGGTAAATTTCTTTTTTTTTCAAATTGACTGGTACTGCTAATGCGTCATAATTGGCTTGCGTCACTTAGCAATTATGAAGACTCATAATAAGCGTGCGTCACTTCAGAAATTTTGTAGACTCAAAGTTTTACTCATTCAGTGTTTGCCAGTAGCGTTATCGGTCATATTTTTTTTGTGCATGAGAAGTGAAACTTCGCCTCTGTGCAAAAATCTTCCAAGTGCCCGTGAGTGGCGCAGATGCGAAAACTTGAGACTCGAAATGTTATGGTCGCAGGTTCGACTCCAAATTATTTTACTATTTCGATGCGTACTTCTATTTCTTTTTTCACTTTATAGAGCTTCTTTTTGTCGTTTTCTTGCTAGTGTTTCCGAAGCCCAGCTTTACCTCTGTTGTAAATTAATTTCAATTAATTAACGCTACGATCCGTAAAGTTTTATAAATTATTTGATAACTAGATCAAATTGAAGATATAAATAATAGGTCTGATGTTGATTTAGAAGTGAGATGCGCCAGCAAGTATCCGAAATCCTTCGCAACCACAACTACATCAAAGTACTGCCACCATTCCCAATCGAGTGTTCCGAATCACAGCTGAACGCAGCCAACATGCCTATCATATTCGAGGAGATTTACGTTGAGAATCCAACAGAATACATCATAGCCCATTCGCCTTCAGTGGACGTTGAACTGTCGCTGAATGAAAGTTTAGCGTACCAGAATATCAGTGGGACTAATAGCGTTGTTGCCAGTCCATCCAGGCTGGCGGAGGGATCTCTGGTAGCTCTGGATCCGAGTAAGCAGCCAATGGTGAACGGAAAGCGAAGTCACGATGTGTCACCGAATGTAAGTATTTGACGTTACGAGAAGCTCACGTTTTTGTGTAAGTCCTAGTATTTTAGACGTTTTTCGTTTTTTTTTATTGGTGCTATGGCTATCATCTGCATAAGTGGTTTATTGTTAATTTATGAAGTGAAACGGAAAACGACAGCAGATGATTTCATCAGGTTTTATTTTTAGCTCGTGATTAAAAATAATGGTATCAATTTTCGAACTCAATCATGTTGCGCCAACGATTAGTGATTTTTTTTTCATTTTTGAAAAACATTCAATGCTAGATTCATACTCGAAAATCAAAATAACCTGTATTTTTTTCGATCAAAATGGACTATTCAGCAGGTTAGTTCATAGATAATATCTCATCGATATTATCTTTCAGGTTTCTGCTCCTACGCCCGAGCTCAACTCACCCAGCAACCCTCAGCTGATTGGTACTAGCAACAGACTACAGCTTGCAAAGAGTGCCCTGAACAAACTTAGCCGTCTATCATCCACCTCTAAACAACAACAACCGCCCTGCTCTTCATGTAGACCGTCTCTCAAACGCTCTTTCTCCTGTTCCAGTTTCAAAACTGAGTTTGAACTTCATTTAAGTGAGTACGATTCGCCAATCGAAAGCAAAAGCTGAATCTAATTAGCTGTTTCGAGTAATATGGACATTTTTAGGAGTCATGAACGTTGTGAATACTCTTATATAGAACTTGGTGATTTTGATTTTTTTTTGTGGAAAAAATTTGTTCACGCTGGAAATTTGTTCACGCGGAAAAAAGCGTCAATCATAAATTTTTCTTGGAATTCAAAGAGCCTTGAAGTCATATCTTTTTCGTTGAAACTCGAAAGTTGATGTTTTTGTTTTCAAAAAATTTCGGTTTCTTAGGATTCATTGATTCTTTGCCAACTATGTGTTGGCTTTGTTTTTCTTCATCAGGCAATAGTGTTTCCTAAGAATTGCATTAGGTCGCGATATCGCTTGTAAGCAGTTTTTTAATACTGTTTGCGAAACTGTTTGAATGCCTAATCTAGATCAACATTTTGATGTAGATGTGACACAACTGCTAAGATCTGGGGTCAATCCTTTTCTGTCATGTTTTTCGTCGATAGTAGTTTTCAATTATATGAGTGTTTGTGCTTATGCATTGACATATGGAGGGGCATTGCGAAGCTTTCAAGTATAGGTAGTTTTTTCAATTATTTTAATTATTTTTGGATTAATTCTTGAAATTGGTGACGTTAAATCAAAATGTTAATTTTTGAATTATTTTTCAAACCTTCGAGTTGTCGCTTTCCTTAAACTTTGCGCGTTGTATTTTAGTGCGATTTTTCTCGATAATGAAAAAGAGCTGGAAAAAATTTGTTTGACTTAATCGAAGTTCTAAGGTTTTTTTGTTTCTCAGATCTACCAGAAGCCAAATCTAGAGGTAATCACGAACATGCGAAACCCAAGCCCCTCTCCGTTAGTTTTTCGGTGGACGGGAAATTTTCCGCGTTTTCAACAGTTTTGAAGTCCAATCGAAGTGATTCATCATTTGACACGACAATCACAACACGCAACCCAGTAATCAACGCTGAAGGAACATCTCATACTTGTTCGAATTGTGAAACTAGGAGCTCGATAAGAGGCATGAACAGAATAGCAGATGCAAGAGATATCCTGACCCAATTTTCCTCTCAGGTTGAAAGTTTGAGTTCGACGGATGTTCTGAGAACTTTGCAAGCTGCGAAAAACAGATCAGTTTCACCATTCCAAGCAATCTTAGCAGGTACTTTTTGTCTTTTTCGCCCAATTTCCTGTTCTGAAAACTTTTTTAAAACTTGTTAAGACTTATAGTTTCTTACTATTATTGTTTGGACAGATTTTAATGTTATAGCACCCATTAATTTGCTTATATCCATGTACGAACTGCATTTTTCATTCCATCAATGGATCTTGCGTGTCAAATATGAAATATTCTTCTTTTCGACCCTCTTCGACGATGAGAAGAACCAATGAAGGCTGTAATTTTTTCAAGCAATTGATTTTCATGAGATACCGACAAATTCTCTTTTACTAGCGCCGTCCCGTAGGTTGGTCTTTTTTGTACCAATTTTCTCCGCTAATGAAGTGAGGAAACTTTGTTTACTAAACGCTTTTTGGTAACTTTGTTTTTTAGTGTACGTAACTTTGTATGGGGCTTTTTGCAATAGCAAAGTCAGGTACTCCACGAAGAACACATGAACGGAATTGACCAAAAAGAAATTGTCTCTCCAAAACCATTCGTTGGTAAACAGATCTTCGTAAATCTCAGAAACACAACGAGACAGTTGATAGCATGTGTTCATGTAATGGGTACCACAGGAGTATTTGGAGCTATAACCAATTTTATGACGGCGGGGATTTATTTCAATTATTCTTTGTACTTTTTCCTTGCATTACATTAGCTGAGGATAACTAACAGTCTTCGTTACCTGAATATATGCTAAGAGCTCGTATACGCCTTGCTGTTTCACGGTTGGGCTGCGTTTATTTTCAGACTATTTGATGCCAATTTAATCCTCCTTTGTTGTATGTATTCTTCGTCGAATATAACGGCTGCTCTATTTAGGATTTGTGTAGTAAAATGACGTGTTTATTTTCTGGCCATTGTTTCCTAAGGCCTATTTAAAGAAATCTTCAAATTGGTTTTTCCATGCCAAATTTTGCAAACTGCAACATGGGTAAAACTATTTAAGCGGACTGTTCGCAGTAGTGGATTTCGAGATTCGATCCCCTGGCAACTCCAAGGGTACTCGTTTAAAACATCCATTTTTGTCTCAAACCCAATTTTTCTGAAGGAAATCGAGCAAACGTGTTATACGAAGCTTGCCTGTGTAATCCCTACGCCCCAAATTTTTCAGAAAAAAACTATGGCCTCATTTTGAATTTTTTTGTGTGTTTTTTCTCTAAAACTACACTCCAATGTGGGATATAAGGTTCAACCGAAAGAAAAGGCTGTGGAAATCCTCCCGAAATGAGCGGCTACGCCCCCTTTTCTTGGGAAATTACGCCCAATATCATAAGTGGCGACGTCCTGTTTTTAAAGCTATGGCCTTCGGAAAAGGCAAATTTTTGAAACTTTGAACGTTTTGTGGAAACTTGTCGACTCTGTTGTAGTTGGGGGGATACAAAAGAGTCTTCTCAAAACTATCGCCACAAATTGAAGTTTTGAGTTCAATTCAATGAAAAGGTTGTGGGAAATTCTACTGAATAAACTTCTACGCCCATGTTTTTTGGACAAAAAGTTGTGGCCCTCCAAAAAATCAAGTTTTGATTTTTGGACCGTTTTTTGGAAACTGGTCTCAAAAACTACCCTGCCAATCGGAGATTAAGGGTTTAAACGGAGTTATAGGTTTCGAAAGTTTTGCCTGAGGAAACTATGACTCTTTAATTTAAGGAAGAAAATTGAAGTTGTTCTTGGAGACAAGAAAACAAATTTCCTCCATTTTTGCGAACTACCCTGCCCTGGAAAAGTGGGTTCGATCATTTTTTTGTAAGCAGTTTTTCTTTTCCCAAAAATTGTCTCTCCATTTCTGAGGTTAATGGTTCAATAACATGGTGCAAAGATTATCTCTGCATAAACAGTTACACCTTATTTTTTTTGTAGAAACGCCCAATTGGCTCTAGGAAAAGTCTGTTTTGAAATGTTTATCCATTATACAATGTTTTGAATCTCCCACGCTTAAGCGGCTGATCTCCTATTTTTCCGAGAAAGCACCAAGTTTTTACGTAACGTTCAGTTTATGAAATTTTGAAAACTACGCATTTCATCCCCCATCAGTACAATGTATTTTAAATATGAAACAGGTACCTCCAGCTTTAGCCTGGCCTGTGGTGGTGATTTGGGGTGTTTGGAAAATCATTTTAGTCGCCATAGAAAAAAGCGGAAGAATGTTGAGAATTTTTTGAAAACCACCCCATGAGAAAATACCCCATTTGAAGGTACGTAAAAAAGAGACTTGGAGATAATTGAATTTTAAAAATTAATAAATTTTCTGTGTCGAATGTTTGGCGTTTTTTTTCAGACTAAATAACAATTTTCAGACTAATTGAGATGGAAGATAAAACTAGTTTTAAGAGTCAATGAATGTGTAATGAAGACGTTTATCTGGTTGTGATAACTTCTGTGTTCTTTTCAGAAAAGAGTTAAAATTTCTTCGCGCTCAAATTTGATTTTTCGCGGTTTGAGTTTCGGTTCCTTTTTATGTTCATGACATGTCCTTTCTTAAAAGAAAGGCAAACTCCACCATCGAACAGCAAAATGAAGTTTATCAATAAAGTTTCAATTATGAAATATTGAAGTTCGAAGAACTTTAAGGGCATATTTTTTTATTTGAAGTTCGAAAGTTGAAGTGTATTAACAACAATTCGTATTTTGTTTTCTGTTTTCTTGATTTCAATGGCATTTTCCAACAACTTGGCGTCGACGTTTTTTTTTTAATTTTGCCCTGTCAAGTTTTTCATTGAAATCAATATGGTTGGAACAAAGTGTGTTATATGCAAAGAAACCGTTCATCATTTTTTTGCAAATAGGAAACATCCAATTTTGTTTGATATTTTTCAGGAGCAATTGAAGTTGAAAACGTGCTCTCATTTCTGGACGACGTACAATGCTCACGTATGGAACCGTTGTTGTTCACGCCGAAACACCTTGAAAAAATCAAACGAATGCGAAAACAAGTCGAGTCCATCCTGAGAGATCAAAGAATAAAACTCAACTGGTATGCTCATCTGAGTTCCGATCTGTTCTCCTGCACTGAGCCCTACTTTCTCGAGACTCCAAATGAGTTTGCTTACCATGTATCGGAGTCTGGACCTGGATGCCATTTAGTAATATGCGTCCATGGATTAGATGGCAACTGTCAGGATCTGAGAACACTGCGGACGTTCATGTTGATGGCGATGAAGTTGCCGCTGTCCAAGATCCGATTTCTGATGTCACGTGCCAATGAAGACGACACGATGAATGAGACGTTAGAGAGTCTGACTAACCGTCTGGTTGACGAGATTGATGAGCATATCCAACAGACTAATTTGATCTATGACAGAATTAGGTACGACAATTCAAGTTCAAAGGAGAAGTAAAAAGTAACTTAATGAATTTTCGAAATAGCTTTCTGTACGGTTTGATTAAAATGAAACTGATACTAAGTTTCGTTTTTTCTTTTGGTACGAAGTGAATGCATCACTTTTCTTAAATATGCTATTTATAAAATCATTTTACTTCGATAAAATATGAGATTTGAAGCAATTGATTTGGGTCACAACTAAATCTTTCAAAATTCAGGTGACATTGTTTAAACCGAAAGAAGTGAATAATTGGCTTTTAATGAAAAGTAATTCGTGCTTCAGCTTTATTGGTCACTCTCTCGGAGCTTTAATAATCAGGGCTGCCCTTGCCAAACCGGCAATGCATAAGTACCATGATCGCCTCTACACTTATCTCTCCCTCGCTGGACCCCATCTAGGCACAGGATACCAGAACTCGAAGCTGGTCTCGGCTGGAATGTGGGTGTTCCAGAAACTGAAAAAGTCCCCGGCCATCAATCAGCTGTCGCTCAAGGATGAGGTCATTTTGGAGAAGACTTTCGTGTTTAAAACGAGCGCGCAGAGAAGTATGAAGTCATTGAAATATGAACTTATTCATTGTAATTTGTTATGGTTGAGTTTTACTCGAACGGAGGAGAATTGATTGCAATATCTGCGTTTTTTACATAAATTTGACCATGATCATGTTCGATGACTTAACGTGTCGGGTATAAGTAGGCTTGCAACAGCTGTCTGCAGATGTGTGCTTCAAAAACCAGCATTTTGTGTTTCTGAATCTTTCAATTCCACGAAGGCCGGATATTGGTATCCATTGCCAAATTTAGGTCTTAGACAGCTAAATTAACTATCATGAAGAAAAATTTTCTGATGAATACGCCGGCGAAATTGATCTTATTAGTTGCCGATCAAGCTTAACATGGTTTCGTCGTTCCCAAAAATGTTTACGTTTAGGTTTGGAGTTTTTCACAAATGTGCTACTTGTTTCCTCACATCAAGACAAATACGTCCCCCCTCACTCGGCCAGAATAGAATTATGCGAAAAAGCAGTTAAAGACGACTCCCTATTTGGACGAACATATCGCACCATGGTCGACAATATCCTTTCGCCCATAATATCAAAACCCGACTTAAAACTCGTCCGATACGACGTCTCTTTTCCCCTGAGCACGAGTGCGGCAAACAATCTTATCGGAAGGACTGCTCATATCGCTGTACTGGATTCTGAAGTTTGGATGGAGAAGTTTTTTACGGTAGTCGCTCTGAAGTATTTCACGTGAAGGTCAAGTTCTTTCAAAATGGCTGCCAAGTTATTAAATTATTAGAATTTGATGTCGACCATTGTTGCTGATTTTTTTCAATGCAATTATAAAATTGTAAATCTAGCAAAGTTTGATATTCCTTTAGGACTAAATGTTGATACTATGTATTTGATGGGTAGATTATGTTAGAATATTGGATTAGTTACGATTCAACTGAGAAAGTGAAATTCTGATTGCGTAGAGTCGAGAGAGCTTCGCCTTAGAGCTGATGTCTTTTCTCATTAGTACACCTTCTATTGTTGCTTTCTGCCAAAATTTCTTGATAGATTAAAATACTGCTTTATTTACATGACTTGTTGATACTAACAGGATCAAGATCACAGGGAAACAATTTTGCCATCGACAGTTTTTCTCTTTCCTTAATATAACGATGGAATTACGATGACTTTTCCAGGTTAACAACTTGTGTAACAGAATCCCTGAATCATTTTTTAAACTCTATAGTTTCATCAACAACACATATTTGAGCATGTTTGCATTTTTAATACCCGTTTTTTTACGAAAGTTTTTTCTGTTTTCCGTTAGGCAAAATTTTATTGATTTTTGTATAGATAATTGAGATCTTGATGCTGTTGCTGAATCGTTATTTAATTTTTATGGTTAAATTCTAAATTCAACCTGTGGCAAACTACGTTGGTGCAGAGAATTTACAATGTGGTCCAATAAAGGTGCTCTATTAGATCTTTCTATGATTATTGATTTCATATATTCTGTAATCAAATTGCAAAAGATTATCACTAAGAGGATATGTCCGTTTTGATAGTTGTTTCGTAGCTTAAGCCAGTCGAGATCGAATCCCAAGCTAACTGTCATGTGCATTTTTAGGTTAAACCGCAGTAAGGCTGTGATATTCAACTTATATTCTGCCTTGTATTTTTCAATTAAGTTTGGTCTCGTTTTTTCAAGTTTCGATTTAATTTCTAGGCTTTTCATCAAGTTTTAAATGAATAGCTTTTTCCCTTGGAGTTACCTTTACAGTGTCCGACAAAGGATATAATGTTTCAGCTAGGGCTCAATAATGCATGGTACTAGATGAAAGTATGAGGACTTACTTCGATTAAAGAACTGAATAAGAGAAAGCTAGCGTTTGCTCTATATCATGGTCTTTTTTTAAGGACAGCTTCTCTAGTGCTGCTGGCTAAGCGTTTCAATTATGAACATTAGTTTAGCATCTCTCATTTATCGCAAGTTTTCGATTAGTCATTCATCGCTAGTTAATTGTTAATGCTAAGTGGAATTTCTTTTTTTTTCTGCTTCATTCAGTTGGTTGGCGCTTTTTCGACTGTCTGTTGGCTATGTGTGTTGTCAAGAGCGAAACGCTGTTTTTGTGTGGATTGATTGTTCGGTCTGTGTATGAAATTAGTGGATGTGCCTGAGTGTTAATGGATCGTTTGAAAAAAAATGTTTAGGTTACGTGCCTGAGAAAGGTTTTTAACTTTGCTTCCGCTTTTTCAAATTCATTTTTTGATTTAAGCTTTCCACCTATATTGACTTGTTTTTGCTTAGGCATTAGGTTTTGCGTCATTACTGTGGTTACATTTATTTGTTGTCATTGTTTTCAAATCAAAAACTCCAAAGTATGCTGCAAAAAAAAAAACATTCTTAAAATAAAAATTTATTGTGTTCTTACAATTTAATTTGTTCACGCTCGAATTTGATTTTTTGAGTTTTGACGTCTCTTCAAGTTCCGTTCATTTCCTTCGCGCTCAAGTTTTTTTGCGTTTTTTTTTCAAAGTTCAAATCAAATTCTTATGCTGAGAGTGAGGCTAATTACGCTGTTGAATACAAACGTTCAAATGGCGGGAAAACGTGACAGACTTCTAGTTGAAGTTTTTAGATTTCCCAGTGAAGTAAATTATTATCTATTGATCTAGTTAGCTCAAATGGTGTTAGTTTTATCGAAAGTTGTCAGTCATAAACGATTCTCGAAATTAAGAGCTTTGATGTTTCTCAAATGATTTTTCTTTGAAACTCGAAAGTCCTTTGATTTTTTCGAAAAGGTTTTTTGATGCCCTTGAGCTCCGAAAAAATAAGAGACACGTCATTAATTTTTTGCTCTATTTTTGTTGACTATGATTTAAATGTTAATTAACGCATATATTTTCCTCTTATTAAAGCGTTGTTTTCAAGGTTAGTTTTTTTTTTTCATTTCAAGTTAGTTTGATTACATGAACTAAGTACTCATCAAAAAAACATATGCAAATAGCGTGAATAAATGCTCTGGTTTTAGTTTCAAAATAGGGTTTTTAGTTTTTAAAAGTTTATTGTTATTATGAAAACACTTTAAAGATCGTGTTGATTTTTTGTTTTTGTTCCGAACGTTTGAAAAATGGAGGAACTTTGTATTCGGGTGTTTTAGTTTTTTTGTTTTCCTTACAGAATCAGGAACCAAAAATAATCATCGGACTGGGTTGAGTGATATATCATATTAAAGCTCTTTCAGTCGTAATTCGAAGCACTTCAAACAATTTCCAAAAAATGTTCCCAGTTTCGAGAAAAATCGTTTTGAAATTTTTGATTTTTTGTTTTTATTCGAGCGAAAGCCAGCGAGCCAGGCTTACAACAGCTGAGCTGAATTATGCCTAATTTAAGACCTTAAAAGTTAATTTTCAGCAAGTAAACTTAGTTTTGGAGTTTTTCAACTTCATTTTAGGCAACCAAAAACTTCAAAAAAAATCAAATTTTCTGCAAACAATTTTGAAATTTTTGAAAAAAAAGTTTTTCTAGTCATTTTTCTACGACAATTTTTGTCCATTTCGCCTATATAACTATGACTGTCGAATATGCCTAAATTATATTTTTACGTCAGATCCTTGTATCACACCAAGCAGAAAAAATTATACTATTTTGGAAAAAAAAACTTTCTAAACCCTAGTTTTCTAAAGACCATGGTCCGAACATTCTGTGCTACTTGCATAGTAACCGGCTATCCTTGTTCTTTTATATAATAGATCTTAAAATTTGTCTGTCGATTCTCCATTCGGAGTTTTTTGCATTTGTCTGTCGATTCATTCTAAGTTCATTTCAATTTAGTTTGGTAAAATTAAAGCAAATCACGCTCTTTAATCGCAAAATTTCAATTCTCTCACAAAATGTAAAAGACTTAGTTTCAAGAAATTGAATTTACTTTTGCACAGTTTTTTCCTGTTTCTTTGCGTTCATTGACTCTTTTCCAGCTGTCTGTTGACTATGTTCTAGCTCGTTTTCGCGAAATTGAGCTTTGCCGATGTGTACAGAATTCCGAGCGGAAAAAATAATCTTTGGTTAATTTGCTCAAATTGGGAAAGATTTATCAAAAAAGAGTCAAATATAAGTTTTTCTGGAAATCTATTAACTAAAAGGAAAGAAAGTTACGCTCTCCAATAAGAAAGTGTAAACCACAGGAAAAACGTGATAAAAATACCTACAAGTCAGTTATTTTTCCGATTACCTTAGTTATTGAATTTTTCTAAAAAGTCGTTGGCGGTTTATCATCGATTCAACTTTGTGTGATCTGCGTTTAATTGTGAAGCAGCATTTCAAGAGCACTACATTTTTAATTTCTGTATCTCAAGTGATACGAAGATTTTTTTCTCCGCTGTGTCCAGTTAAAAATTTATCAACTTTGAACTAGTGAACGCTTTGACCGTAAAAGTTTTCCTCTGTACTTATAAATCGGTTCCAAAAATAAATGACCAATAAATTGCTCTGAAGCTTGGCATTGTCTGTCTACTGTAATTTTAGCCATTCTGTTTATCTGTTTCCGCTTTTCGTCGTACCAAGTGTTGTTATTACAGAACCAGTTCTGCGTATATAACTGTTTGTCCTACCGCTGGCATTGTGACTAACGAGTTTTAATAGGTGTCTGCTGTAGTAGCTGTATAATATAAACAAATAAGTTTTACATGACTAGTTTGTAAAATGTTGAGTAACTTTTAAGTTTCATGTTGTTAGCCAGTTAACTTCGTTTTTTTTTTTCAGATCAGTATGAAAAAAGATTTATACCAGCCTATAATACGTTAATTGCAACAAAAATCAGCACAAACAAGGCCGTGATTGGTTCAGTACATTAATTTATATGCATCAATTTACTGTGAGCGAGTCATTTGTTCATTTGATCTCGAGTGTTACTGAAGGTTTACATGTTCAAACTTACCATCAAGAGATCTCACATAAAAACAATTAGAATACCTTTCAATGTCGCCACAGCGAACGTGTAAAACTTAAGTGTAATCTTGTTATCTTCAGTTCTGGGCCTGCAAACAACAGAATTTAAATCGACAGACTTTTCTGCGTAGCCTATTTTGAATTACAAAGTTTAATAGTGTTAGCATTAAATTTCATCATTTCCTGATCTCATGAATAACAAACGTTGAACCTTAAAGTATTCTTCAAATTTATTTTCATGTTTAAAAAGATTAACTTCTACCAATTTTGTTCAAATTTAGTTTAAATTTAGGATATTGGAGAGCCATATTTGACTGAAAGGTACAATTATAACTGTTCCCAAGAGAAGTGCATTGTTTCCGAGCTTACACAAATAGTTTTACCGTAGTCAAACGAGCATTAAATTTTGTAACTACATCTATTTTTCCGTTGTTGTAGCAATAATTTCGAAGCTCAGTAGTGACTTAATTCAAGTTCAGATGGTAAATGTGTTTCCAATAGTTCTGAGTAAACAAGTTATGTTGAGTTAACTTCATACAAAACCACGCCAATGAGAAATCCAGTTAAAGAACGTTGTTTCAAGTTTGGAAAGTTGCTTCTTATTCTTCATGTTTGATCTGAAACCATTTTGATTCAACAGAAACAGAATTCGGTTGAACTTTATACTTGATATAAACTTTTCTTACCAATTATAAACTTTGCCAATTTAAGAATTTCCTCTGTAACAACGATTATTGAACCAATTGTTTTGGGTTGCACCTGGAATTATTAGCAGAATCAAGCGGCAGGTCACCAAAATGGCCGATAGACCAGGTAATTGTACGATATGAAATGAAATTTTCATCTGCACTTAACTGATTGCTAGGCTGTTTTTTTTAAGTTATGATGTGATGATAGTCAGCTCTGTTTTTTTTTTGCCCGAAACACTTCGATGTATCTTTTTGGGTGTATTGGTTCAGCTCTTATTGAAACTATAGTTTAACTCTGGACCTCACCTTTGTGGATATTGCTGTTCTAATTTTTCTGAACTAACTTGTATTTCGAGTTTTATATTTTTATAGTAGATTTAGTGCCTTCCCAAATTAAGAGTTCATGGAATGATTTTGTTGCTAATTGCAGACGTATTGAAGATGGGTCAATGTAATAGCAGCTATTACAATAAAAAATCAATCATTTTGGTTCTTAAAACCAATGATTTTGATATTGTTTTTAAATGTTTGACCGAAAAACAATCTAGTTGCATTAGCGTGCACAGTAATTATCTAGGGGGTATTTCGAAAAGAATCAAAATGTTTCGGCTGTCTTAAGTCGACCAATTTGATTTTCCGATCTCCCCTAAAACAGTAAAAAGACCCTATTATGTCAAACTAGTTCGGCGTGAACTCTCCCCTCAAATCTAGTATATATTGGCGCCTCTAGAAAAATCGTGTGGTTGGTCATTCAAAACTGGGTGGCGTAAAGTAGTACCAAAGGATGGGGAACCATTGTAAACCTATGGCAACGAGAATTGAGCCCACCCCTGGGTACGCTATTGTCTAGTTGTTTATACAGCTTTTACGTGGGAATGCATTTAAGATGTGTGTGATAATTCACTAAAAATTCATTGAAACACGTTTCTGTAATTAATTTGCATAATTTGCAGCGTCCATAGCTGAGCATTCAGCTTTTAATGACTCAACTCTGTCCTCGCCCATGACGCCCTCGGGCGGCGAGATCAATAAACGCAAGCTCTCCTTCAGTAAGTATCTTCTCCTCCTTCCCGCATCCATGCCATGCATTTTTGTTAGTCATTATTATCATGTCTTGTGTAAATGCCTCATTTGTTTTTATGCTTAACTGCTTTAGAAATCCGGACGTTATAGTTGTTGTCAAAGTTTTGAATGCGTTTGTTCGAATGAAACATTCTAAACCACTTCTAAACAATTGTGAAATTTCTAACAGATTAAGAAACAATTTAAGAGCATTTTGAGGTCAAAGCGAATTAGATGACAAGTTATTTAATTTAATTGTCAAAAATTATGTTATCAGATATTACACTGAGTCATAAGTCGGAAGCAGAAAGTTTAAAAACGTATTCCTTCTTTAACAAACGTATTCCGGTGGCCTCCTTCTTTAACAGACGTTTTTACAGCTCTAGTTCTGTCACTTTAAGGCCTGCTATATTCTGTCACTTCCACTACTTGCCCGACTTCAATCCGGTAAATTTGCTGTCTACATTGGCAATGCGAGATGGAAAAGTTTCCGTTTTTTTCGGAAATCAGAAAAGAAAGCTTCCGATTTTTTTGCTATATAGGTGTTAACTGCGTCTAAAATGCAGGATTGCTAGGACGCGTGTTATTACAATTAAAAAGAATCGCATTTCAAATAATTGCTAAGTAGGACCAACAATTTGTAAGCAGGTTTCAATGATGGTATATTGTGTCACAATTGAATCATTTTTGAAGCTCTGCTTCAGTTTATATTATTAAGAGTAATGAACGTAGTGAGTACTCTTATATAGGTCTTGCTGATTTTTTGTTTTGTTTTTTCAGGAAAAATTTGTGCAAGCTCAATTTTGTTTTTTTTTTGCGGTTTGACTTGTGATTTCTTTTCAAGTTCAGTGCATTTCTATTGTTAAAAGGAAGGCAAACTCCATTATCGAACAGCAAAATTGTAAAGGTCACAAAAAAGTGATCGACTTCTAATTTCGAAAATGGAAATTAATTATCAGATTTTGCAGCGAAAAGAAAACCTGTTGATCCAGTTTTCTCAAATTGGGTTAATTTTAACAAAAAACTGTCCATAAAAAACTGTTCTATAAATTCGAGCTTTAAGGTCATCTATTAATAAGTTGTTTTTTTTTTCAGTTTCCCTGCGTGCATTGCTCTTTTCCAGCTTTCAGTTGGCGTTGTTTACTTAAGTAGTGTTAGCGCAGTGTTATATTACGAGTTAACTTTTCTAACCCAAATCGCATATAAAAGTGCTTAGTTGTGGCTTTTTTCTGCATAGCGATGACGATTTATTAGCATCTCATCGGTTTATTAGTGGCTAGTATTTACATATGCAAGATACCATGGTGCAGATGCAAATATGTTTTACTCGTAAATTGTTGATCGGCGGTTCGATTCCGGCACAGCTGAAGTGCTATTTTTCGAGGCTTATTTTCCCTGTAATTTTTCCCCTCGCTTGTGTTTGCGAAGTGAAGCTTCGCCCTTGTGTTAGAATCTGCTATATGGATTACTTATGGTATCTCACGATCTGGGATTTCACTCTCATGACCATAAAAAACCAATTCGACTCTTTCTGGTCCAAGTTCCTCAAGAATAGTCAGTTGCTGCGCAAATAGCACCTAAACACGTTTTTTCAACTAGAAACTTGATTTTTTTTTAATTCCAGTTGCTTTTGTCAGTAGATAAACTCAAAGTTTGCTAGAGCATAGATAAGAATTTCAACTGACTGAAGTATAAAAAAACTCCGTGTTTTTCTGTTGATGTAACTTGGACCTGGGCAACACTAAACTAAGCTTTAAAAACTAATTTTTCACATTTAATTATAAATTTTGTTCAGCTTAATTAAGAGCTTTTTGTGTTCTCGACTAAACAGCTAAAATTTTGAACTGATTTTTCTGGAAAGGAAAAGTATTTTGAAATTTTTTATGCCGATCGACTCCCAAATGAAAGGAATTCCTTATATACTATTCGATCCATTCTGATAATTGTTTGTGGTATTTGATTGAATGTCGAAAAAAAAATAATGAAACACCCGAATACAAAGTTTTCACCCCCTTTCACTGGTCGGAACAGAAATTCTACACTAAGGAACTGCTCGAAAAATTCCGTGATTTGTTCTCAGACGTATACGGACAACGGAATAGTTAGCCAAGTGTCGCTTTTTGCGAATATCGTCGGAAACTTGAAACTACTATTGTTATTTCCATGGGAAGTTGTATGCATCTAAGCGAAAATTCAACACCAGCAGTGATCGTGGGTTGAAACTATAAGAAGTCTAAAAAGTGAACGTTTCAAACTGGTTTACGCAACACCTGACTCCTAAGCTGCACAAAACTCCGGAGTTTGGATCAACAAGTTGTTTTTCTGCATGAATTGAAGCATATCTTTTTTGATCATCGCTATTATTTCATTACAATAAAGCATGAAGATAATATAGCAGATAAAAGCATCTGGTGAAGTTAGCTACAAGCAATAATCTTATTATTATTCGGTCACTGCATTTTGGAACAGATGCTTATCTGCCTTTTGAACTTTAGCCAAATAAATCGCATGTGCATCCTTCCGAACCCACTTTCTTTTCCATTATAATTAGTGTTATTGCATTCGCATGAAGAGATAATCTACTTAGAAATAAATTATCGACAAAAACCCGTTGAAGGTAAAGTAAGTTAAAAATCAGAATTTGATTCCAGAATGCAGCTGTTTTTAGTCTTGAAATTTGGTTTTAATATTACAAACTTGGAAAACAAAACTCGACTTCATTTGTTTTGAATTGATCTGTCATGTTCAACCCATAATGTTGTTTAAAGTGTTGTGGTACCTGTTTCAAATGTTTCGAAGTGTGATGATATTTAACGCATTTAACAGTGTCATTCAGTGGGGCGGACGAGCGTCTCAACTGCGAAGACCTGACGAGTCTCAGTCAGCTGACAGAAGATAGCATTACTAAAGTGCTAGAGAACAGATTCAGCCAGGGGGAGATATACACTTACATTGGCAGTATCCTCATCTCAGTGAACCCCTACAAACCCACTGGAATATACAACAGAGAGCAGCGCGAAAAGTTAGTTTCTCACTTGTCGTAGTTTCTATCATCACTCTGGGATTTTTACTTCACGTACTTTCTATCATCACTCTTGCATCACACTTATTACGTCGAAGATTACGCAAAGTTGAAACATAGGTTATAAATTGAAAGCAAAGTGTTATGAAATAGTTCCATAACATGTTTTAAAAAACTAGTTAATTATTGATTTACACTGCTTTGTTTTTTTAAATGAGTTTATTGAATAACATCAGTTTTCCCAATTTGTATTTTTTTTCAAAAATAAGTTATGGCTTTCTCACTGACCCGGTCTCTTTCTGGTCATTTTAACCGATCATTTTGGTTTTCAGGTACCGAAACAAAGTTTTGGGTTCTCTCAAACCCCATCTCTATGCACTCGGTGACGCTGTATATCGAAACCTGATCGACACAAAGCGTTGTCAGAGTGTCGTTATATCGGGTGAATCAGGCTCGGGTAAAACGGAAACTACCAAGTATCTTCTAGGCTACTTTTGCCACGTTTGCGGAACCAGTACCGCCGAGAAGATTCCTGACCAGATTATGGCTGCAAACATAATTATGGAAGCGTTCGGAAATGCGAAAACGGTCAGAAACGACAACTCTAGTCGCTTCGGAAAGTTCATCCGACTCTGTATGCAATTCCCACCAGGTTCTGACTACCCTACAATTTCTGGAGCTTTTCTTGAAGATTATCTTCTGGAACAGAGTCGAATCATCTTGCCATCAAAAGATGAAAGAAACTACCACGTTTTCTACCAGTTCCTTGCCGCATCGGTTGCTGACAAAAATCAAAGGTTCTACAGACTTCACCATGCAAGGCGTCCAGAAACGTATCGCTACCTAAGCGTAAGTGACTGTTATACCGTGCAAGGACAAGACGAAATCGACCTGTTTGATAAACTCATAACAGCCTTCGGACAAATCAATATTGGACCTGAGCTATTTGAGGGTGTCTTGGATGTCTTATCCGCAGTTCTCTGGTTCGGAAATATCGATTTTGATAACAGCGAGAGTGAAAATGTCGAAATTGATGAAAACTCAGTGGACGTGATTGAAGTTCTCCTGAACTTGTTGGGAGTTGAGTTAGACGCGTTCGAAGAATTGTTGCTAGTGAGAAAAAATACAATTAGAGGAGAATTGTTTAGAACTCCGTACAAAATAACAGAAGCAATTGAGAACCGAGACGCGATGGCGAAGGCACTGTACTCTAATCTTTTTGGATGGATCATCGAGAAGATAAGAGAGTGTATGAATCCTTCTGATTCAGGAGTTGATTACTATATCGGAATCCTGGACATTTTCGGATTTGAATGCTTGGCTACAAACTCTTTCGAACAACTGTGCATTAATTATGCGAACGAAAAACTGCATATGTTTTTCAACCACTATATTTTCAACCTAGAACAAAGCTTGTATAAAAGTGAGAATATAAGTGTCGATCATATATCCTTCTCGGACAACCAGCCATGTCTAGATGTTCTGGAAAAAGGGTCGCAATGCGTGTTGCGAATTTTGGCTGAGGAGTGCAGGTTTCCAGATGGAACAGACAAGAGTTACGTAATGAAGCAACATTCGGTGCTCGAGAATCACTCACATTACGTCAAAGGACATGACCGTCGGTACTGGGCCGAGTTCTTTGGAATCAAACATTACGCAGGTGAAGTAGCATATACAGTCAAAGGGTTCCTTGAGAAGAATCGCGATGCACAGCAAGATGGATTTTTTTGTCTGCTTTCGGAATCTAAAAAGCCGTTTTCACAAGATGTTGCGGAGCAGTTTTTCAATTCGCAGGCTCAATTGATGGGAATGGGTAAACGTGTGTCGCGGGGAGGAACGCTGCGAGGCACCCCTGGTCCGGCAACAGGAGGAGGAAGTCACCGACAGTCGGTCGGCGAGAGGTTCCGAAGTCAGCTTCGATCATTAGTACAAGTTCTTGACTCAACGAACTCCTGGTACATTCGGTGTCTGAAACCAAACAACGAGAAAGCCCCCTTCAGTTATGACTCGCCGTTGATTTTGAATCAGCTGAGATACCTGGGAATGATGGATATTGTCAGAATTAAGCGTGAGGGATTCCCTGTTCACACAAATCCACATGAGTTCTTGGGCTACTACTGGTATCTGGCGCAAAATAAACGAATGCTCCATGATGGAACTCCAGAAGCAGAGGTAATAGAAAGTATAATGAAATCTTTGGATGTTTCTCCTTATGATTGGCAGATGGGACGAACTCAGATATTCTTGAAAGGATCAGTTGCCGAGAAATTGGTGGACAGAAAGAGCCAACTTGTTGTGTCGAATATTGTCATGATCCAAAAAATAGTGAGAGGGTTCATTACACGGAGGTGGTACCAACGACTTCGCAGCGCTGCTATCAAAATTCAATATTTCGCAAGGAAAGTAATTTTGGATGCGAGAACCAGAAGGCGAGAAATGGCTATTGTGGTTATCCAGTCATTCGCTAGAATGATTCTTGCGAAGAAACGAGTGAGAGAAATCAAACAGGCAAGAGAAGCTCTGAGGTTGAAACATCTGCAGGCAAGTAAGCCTAAGCCCACTATTCTTCCAAAACCAGAAAAAGTGACTGGAAAACTTCCAGAAGTCATCTCTGAAGAGATTCGTCCAGAACACAAGCTATTAGCTCAAAAGTCTCTAGAGCTGGAACAATACCAAGAAGAACCATTCACAGTGAGGTCGTCTTTGCGGGAACCAGAACCCGAGAAACAACGGGCTGTAAATATGGCACATACACCTGATGAAAAATCGCTTGATGATTTGATGGCCGAACTGGATGACCTAAGTCTGGACATGTTCGCACCTGCTCCTGAACCAATAGCACCAAAACCAAAGCCTAGAAATCAAGTACTGAAGAGAACGCCAAGTAAAATTTCTGGTTCCATTGAAAACATTTTCAAAGCGACTTCAGTTGAAGAAGCAATGCCGACTCCAACAGCCGATACCGTGACCGCTAGCACTGATTTGGAATCGATGTTAGCTGAAATGGAGATCCATTTGGACAAAAAGGGAGTTGAAATTCCTGATGATGACGATGATGACGAACCTTCTCCCAGGTCGGACACGATTCAATCATACGACAGCCGAGAAAGTTTTGCCTCAACGACAGGAAGGTCAAGTATGGTGGGAACCTCGCTAAGTGGAACGTTAAAAGGGACGCTCAAGGAAAAGTCAAAGAAAGATTCAGTATCGGTTAAGTTCGACGACCTTGAGATTCCCGATATGGACGAACTGATAAAAGAAACTGAGAAGGAAAAAGAAAAAGAAAACCAGCAAAAAGCAAATCTGAGTAAGCCTAGCGCTTTCGTTTCGAAACAGAGTTTGGACAGCGGAATTGGAGCGTCGAATGATACAATTAATATTGCAGCCAGAAACCAAGATAGCTCCAAGGAGGGCTCGAGAGCTTCCAGTACAACCGAAATGCCCAAACCAGTCGCTGCTCCAAGATCCGATAAAGATAGCTTGACATACTCTTTGGTCGAATATGCGGAGAATCATTTCGTGGATTTAGAGTATTCAGATGAGTCGAAGTCCTTCCTTTCGAAGGCGTTTGGTAAGAAGCAGAAGGTGAAAAATAAGATCATACCAAAAGAGACTCTTTTTGAGTTCTCTGCTGATCCATATATACCGAGACCGTTTCACAATTTGGAGAGTGAAGAGTTGATTGAACAGTCATGCGAGATCTATAAAGATCTCTACAAGATGTTGTACAATGACTTAGATCGGTCGGTCATTCAGAAAGTAGTTGAGATCTTGATCGATTCGCCTGCTATTAGAGACGAAGTAATTGCATACTTGATTCGGTTCACGAGGCGAACCAAGAATGACTGCTTTGAAAAGCCTTTGGACCCCCAAAATGCGAATAATGCTTGGCATTTACTCTCCGTTGTTCTGGGGTGTGTGATGCCCAGCAAGGGTTTTGTTAAGTATGTGAAGCAGTACTGCACAGAATTGCAGAAGGATTCTTACGGAATGGACGGAGTCAAGGACGATGTGAAGCTGAGGAGGGCGAGTCACTATTTGAAACACCTCAATAAAGTGAAAGTGGGAGAGCGGAAGAAACCTCCGAGCATGTTTGAGATCAAAGCTGCTATGAAGTATTCTGGTGAGTCAATCAAATAATTTGATATTTTGATAACTATCAATGAGTCACATTTTACCTGCAATATAGGAAGGCTAGATCATTTGCTGGTAATCATTCAGCATCAGTTAAATAACTCTTATTATAAATAGACAACAGGGAGATGGGAAGTTATAATAAGCTGAAAGTAATAAGCTCACAGAAAGTTTTTCAGCGCTAAATAAATTTCGTTTCCTTTCATTTTAAGGTAAACTAAGAATTCCATGTCTGGATATTTGTGTCCTCAAAACCAGACAAAATATCCCCAGGCATTTTTATTCCGTGCAGTGCGTCAAACTGTCAGAAAGTATGAAAATTAGAGAATACGAAAGTAAGAGCTGGTTATTTGAATCAGATCGTATGAAAAAGATATGAGGAAATTTTGTCTTGGACACAAATGTCCAAAATAAATCGATTTTTTGGTCTGGCACACAAATTCCTATACAGCAAGGGTGCGCATTCTTCTAATATTTGATCCGCTCTTTGTATACTGTTTCCAAACTCCTAAGTGAAGTGAAAAAACCTTGAATTTGTCAACAAATTTTTTGCTACTTTTACTCAGCGGACAGTTTATTTAAGCGGGTGGGCGGTCACTGTTCGGTACTGTGGTGTCAGGAAACACAGATGGAGCTGTTGTTTTCTAGGTATTCCCTTGACTCTTCTGACCAGTGAGGGCGAACTTACTGGCAGTGGCATATCCTCGTGGGACACAACAGTGGATGTGCTGAAGAAGATGGCCACCGTGTATGAACTGGAGAACACGCAAGGGTGGGCCCTCTTCATCACCAGTCCAAAACACAGGGATATTTATGTCAAAGCACAGACTTGTCTAGCGGACTATGTTAACGAGTGGGAAACGTAAGTTGACAGTCTTACCTCAAAGTGAACAGGAGTAAGTGTCCCGATAGAAAAAACACGGAAGTGAAAATTGATTGTGGCACCTTTGCGAGGCTTACTCGCGTACTACGGGAACTGAAGCAGAATTTCGTTATCATCTATAACAATATTACTTGAAATAATGAAAGTTTTGCCAAGAAAAATTGTTTTACAGGGGCCCTTCTAGGGTAATCTATAGCAAAATGTCGTAAAATGCAGGCAATAATTTACTTTGGATTGCTTGTTGCCGCTAACAACTTAATTGGTTAATAGTTTGGTGAGGATTAAGTTTTGGTAAAAGTTAGGATTTCCAAGTTGGATTTTGCAAGGATTGTTAATTTCGGGGAAATTCAAAATGTTTGTTTTAAATTTTCTTGATTTGAGCGGGCATCTCTCGCGCATCGTTTTGCAATAGAAATTTAGGAAATCTTTTCAGAGAAGCAGAGGAATCGTCTTCGAAGAAGAGTGTTGCCAAGAAGCAGCAAGGAAATGCCGGCCCATCATTGCTGGCAATGACAGACAAACGCTTCATATTCTTGAAGCGAGTCTTCAAAGACATCGAAAGTATCCCAGAAACAAGCAACGAGATTGCACTTTTGTTTGCTCAATGTGTTCGATCCGTTGTTGAAAAAGATGAGTTCAAGGTCATGGAAACAGAAGCGATGTACCTTGCGGGTCTTCAATGCGCCGGGTTCTTTGGACCTTATGATGACTCATACCGAATCACACGTTACAAACAACCGGCGAAATTTCTACCGAGGAGAATCTTGAATTACGTATCTGACGAGAGGTCACGTGAACAAATTTTGATCAATCAGCATAAAAAATTCAATACTCTATCTAAAGCAGCTGGTCAAAGATCTTATATCTTGAAGTGCCTGAAAACTTTGCCGTTATTCGGTTCTGCTTTGTATGATAATGTTGACTACCGCGGTTTCGTCAATGATGATCGGAAAGTTAAAGTTGCTGTAAATGCTACCGGTGTTTACCTAATTGATCAAACGACGACTGAAACGTTCTTACAATATTCATTCGATAGATTGTCAACGATTTCTCTTGACTGGGACAACGATTTGATTCTGATAAAGCTAGTTGACAGTGCTACTGATTCAGACGAGATGTTGTGTGAGCTCATTTCGCATGATTTCAAAGAAGATATTGTGCAAGTAATCAAGTGCTACTGTCCTAGACTAACAACGGTTGAAAAGAAGAAAGATCTTCTAGGTCTGAAAAATCAAAACGAAGAGCGAAGCATGAAACGCATGCGTCAGGATATCTCAAATGCTAGAAACATTTTAACAAAGCAAACTGATGATCGAATAGTCAATCCTGCGAGTTTGGAAAACCAACAAAATATTGCAAACGCCACATTGAGCAAAAAAGGTAAAGGAAGTGATAAACATGCCAAACAAAATGGTTTTAGTAGTGCGTCCAACAGCACAGCTTATTGGATCTTCACGAAAAAACCAATGACCGAACCCTTGCTTATACACGAAGAGGAAGACTGTAATGCACTGGCTCTGAAAATATTCAACACAATTCTCTTTTTCTCGAAACACATTTCAGAAAAATCTTCAGCCCCGACCGTTTCACATGCAGATCGTAAAAACCCTATCGGCACTATACAAGATATATTCCGCCAGTTTGACAAATATAATTCTCTGGTTGACGAAACTTATATGCAGTTGTGTAAGCAAGTTACAGATCAGCCTCTAGATTCTAAAGATCTGAATGTCTGGGACATATTCGGGGCCCTGACTAATTACAGAGCGCCCGACAACCCACAAGTACGGGCTTATGTTGAGTCTACGCTGCGCTTGGCTTCTGTTGGGGTCTCGAAAGTCAGTCAATATGCATCGTTTTGCAGACGATGTCTACAGAAAGTGGCAACTTTTCCGACAAGAAAAAGAGTCCCGTCTAAAATTGAGATACAAAGTACCTCGAAATGCGAACAAGTGAAGACTTCTATCTTCTTCCCTGGAGGGCAGTTCAGAGAAGTCCAGTTTGACTCATGGGCCACTTCACAGCAGGTGATCCAGGCGACCATTGAAAGGATTTACCTAGCCGGATCTGTGAGTGTGTATAGTCTATTTGAGAGGCTCTCGCATGGCAACAGTCTGGTCAATGAAGTTCCAATCACACCAGATGACAATATCTGCGACAGATTGGGTAATTATGCAAAATGTTGTTATTCTTGTAGACAGGGATTCTGAAAACTTATAAGCCTCTGAGCATCTAGCTGTCGTCAAGTTTTCGTCAATTAGGAAAGCAGACGAATTTATCAAATCCATTGTCATTTTTTCTGATCGTGAAGTTTTAGTCACGGAACAGATCTTATCACAAAAACTACGCGCACAAAAGATGATAGTTTTAACAGATAGTTCAGCTCAGAAAGGTTATTTTTGAATTTTTTTTTCAGCCGTGCAAGAATCAACTGGAGCAAGTGGAATAACATACCAACTGCTGTTCAAGAAGATGTACTTCGTGCGAGCTAGGGAAAAAATCACGACTAATTTGGAAGTCGCTCTCACATACCAACAGGCCCTGGACGAAATCAAAATGGGAACCATGAAACTTCTCCCGCACGAAAAACTCGCTCTGCTTTCTTATCTTGTAAAGTACACCCATAATCAAAAACGAGCCGCAGACCTAAAATCGGACTTGTCACTTTTCAACGGAAACCAGTCATCCTCAATTGATATGGCGCTGATTTGCGAAACTATCCGAAAGACGCTTCCAGATGCCGAGTTCTCACAAACGAATGATCCGGCTTTTGTGCAGCAGATCGAGAAAAACGTGGCGAAACTCAAAGATCCGACAATGTGCTCGATTCTAAGTGTGATACAAACTTTTGTTCACTTCGGAGCGACATCGTTTCACGTTGCTCAAATGTTTACAAGTCAGTTAGAAAAAGAACTGACTTTAAATGTATGCGAGGACGGAATCTATCTTTTCGTCAAATCGAACCACAGCGAGCCAGCGCTGTTCATAAACATAGTAGATATTGAAGACATTAGTATAAACAAGAACTCAATTCAGATTAAAGCGTTCATGCCGCCGAAAAACAACAGAGAGCTCGATGAGCCTAATGTCTTTTTGTTCTACACGACTGGAAGGGCTCCTGATACACAGATGCTAGTAGACGGGTACAGAAAGCTAGGAGAGGAGAAAATTGCAGAGAAAATAAAGGCAGACAAAAATGAAACTATGCAAATGCGTCAATCAACTGTAGTGTAAATTATATCGAAATTACATGTGCATACTAAATATCCAACTGAAAGCACGTTAATAAACTAATGCATAGTAGGGTAATAAACACATTTTTTCAGCTCTAAACCAACCAAAGTTTCATTTGTTAAATGATCATTTCTAATTATTTCATGTAGGAGCTATTTTAGAAAGTTGTGATATTAGCTTGTGCCTAACCAATGGTTTGCTGAAAATTTGCTGAAAGTTGTCTTTGAGTTGTGGCGTAAATTAAATTTCTAATTGCTCAGTTTTGTAACCTGCGAATCAGGATATCTAGATCATTAATCTTCCAAAATATTTTAAGTTTAAAATTGTGCTCTAAGTTTTGCTCTTATTTTCTAAATTCTATAAAGCTTGTTTTTAAAGCGGCTAAAAGTTATTTTGTTAGACGTACGATCATGAAATGCTGATTGTTAACACGAGAAACCAAAAGATTCCAGATTTGCTTGTTCTCATTTTCAATTATGTTGACGTAATTAAACCGCTGAATTTTTTCAACTATACGGTTTGTCCTTTTTAAAAAGATGAACACGATTACTCAATTTGAAAAATTCGGCATAACTGTTTATTACAACTTCTGTCCTGTTTTGTAAATTTTCTTTATTTGACAATTAAAATATTTTGACTGCAAAAAATTTTTTAAATAGAAAAGTTTAAGGTATTCTTGGTTATGATTGGTGAAACGTCGATTGATTTCTAACCTAAATTTTTGATAGGAAATTTGTGAACGTATGCAATAAAACAACGATGATGCGTACACAAAGACTAGTTTTAGAAATGTTCCGAATTACGCTCCAAGTTTCAACCCCAAATATCGGAATTACAAGATATGAGTATGACGTAATGAAAGCCTCCTATCGTACGTATTAAAAAATAAATTGATTAGATTAATTGACCTATAGAAGTAAAGTTAAGCATGCAAAAGCAATTCATCAGACAATTCATAGCTCAAGCTTGTGAGCATAGTGGTATCAAATCAGTCAATTTTTCTGTAAATAGGTCGAAACTTATACAGAGTGGAAGATCAAAAACGAAGCGGAACATCAGAACAATCCAATAAGTCTTGTAGGAGATCTACCCTGATTATGAAACGCCTCAAAAATAGATTGAAAATAAGAAAAAAAATTATACAAGTACCTTAACTAATTGTTTTTCATATAACACAAAATCAGACTTAAACTTTTTTTCGTTGTTGCATTAGGAAAATCAACCAATCAGATTGAAGTTTTTTAAATAAGGTTTCTGTATCAATTTTGATATTTTACAGCGTAGTCTTAGCGCGCTTTATTTTGCGAAACTTCCTGCCTTTTGGTGATTTAAGTGCTCATTGTTGCCGCTTAATTGCGTTTGATGGCCAAGTGTAGCTGAACCTCTACCTCTGCGATTCAATCGGTTACCGGGCATCAAGCCGACAGGATTTCAAGCTGAGTCGAAAATAAGGTATTTCAAGCCGAAATTTTTCTCAAAAAAATTATGAAATATGATTTATTTGAAGACTGTTTGGAAGGATTTCTGCAATTCATAAAAGATTTATAAATCTGCTACCATTGCAGTCATTACTAAAAATTAAAGAGTTGCCCGAGTCGTTTTTTTGATCAATCAAGTCTCAAATAAAAGCATAAGTGCATCAAGTGAAAGATCTATGAAAAGATCTATTGTAAAGAAGAAGATTTTGTAATGATTTCTGAATAATTTTTAACTTCAGACAATATTAGATGAATGTTTACTTTCTCTTAAATTCTACAATAGATACATAACAACTTGAAAAACTGAAAACTTATGCTACATTTTGAATTTTTTTTAAAATAAACTTTTCCTGGTAGACGTCAGTTTTCTATGGAAATTGCTCATTGCATATTCGACTGCCTTGTAAAGCTTTATTATAAGTTCGACAACAGTAGTAAACAGAACTTCTTTTAAAAATGGGAGTGCTATTCTTAATATGGGAGTTCAGTTTGTCGCAATTATGTGTTTAAAAGTTAGTTCAATTACTTTAAAGCGCAAAAATGCCTACGATATCTAGCTGCTTTTGCGCGTGTGTATTCAAGACATGCAACGAAATTTCAAAATCAACTAATCATTTTGGGTTGCCCAAGCGTTTACAAAAACTACACAAATAACCTATTTGACACAATAAGGTTACCTGACACCGAGGAGAAGTTGATAATTTAGGTATTTAACTTGAATTATTTGTATTACTTTTTCGATACTCAAAACAAATATTGAAATTTCAATCAAAATTTATTTGATTTCCTCTAATTCGAACCAGTGAAAAAACTTACCTAGATTTACACGTGTGTCAATTTTTCTGAATTTGGCTAATCGATCGTAAGTTATTCTAAAATATCGAGGTTCTTCATCAGAATTCAATTCAAAACGGTGATCGGACTGTTTTTCTTCATCTTCAGTTTTCGTTTTATAAGGATTTGCATTGGTGTGTTGTTTTGGCAAAAAATGTTCACAAATCCGGCAGTTATCTTCTTTTTTCAAATTTCATCTCCATCATCTGAACAAACCTTTTAAATTGCTAGCGTACGTTTTTCATCAGCGTTATCACTCCCTTACTCTTGTACTTTTTTTGTAGAAATTTAGGAGGCCAAATCTGACAAATGTCCGTTTTAGACATTGAGAATGCAATTGATAGAAACACTTGTCACATAAAAAAAACAATTTGCGGAGCAAACTGATAAATTCCAGCGTTGTGGAAAGAAAACAAAATTTGGAGATTTGTATCTTTTTTCAATTATTTTGCTAAAAAAATTCAATAAAACGTCATAGTTTTTATTTATCTTCTGTGTGACTCATCCAAGTAATCAATCCATAACACAAGTTTATAATAACCAATGGAATTCAAAAAATCAATTTAAAAAAGATAAATTTAACTCAAAACGATTAGTGCTGCTTTTTTCATCAAAAATTCAAAATTTTTAACTGAAAATACTTCTAATTTGTAATTTTGTCTAAAAAGTCAAACTTAAATTGACTAAAGATCAAAAAAAATATTTACAATCTGACATTTTTTAAAACTTTTTCCAGCAAATACTGAAAACACATTCGAGAATTGCGAAAATTTTCCTTTTGATTGCATGTTTTGTCACAATTTTTCTTTCAAACTCACTATTGTAGCTCCTATTGTTCAAAAAAGAAATGGTTCTTAACGCATAAAATTTTATTTACCAAACACAAAAAAAACCATCGCAAAACATAATACTTATCAGACATGACAGTTTTCGTTAAAGATAAAGTCTCTTATTTCCAAAGACAATTTACTGAAAGTATAGTTGATAAAGGCAACTTGTTTCATAGCTTTGTTCTCCTTTGCAGTAAAGAGGCTGCCCTAAATGTAGGAAGGCTTAAGGATAATGTATTTCTTAATTGCAAGATAAAGTTAAGTTGTCTTTATTGAATTTTGCTATGAAACATACCGTATTACAGAGGGCAAGCTCCTGATCCATTGCTGGCTCTTAAACAGAATTGAGTTCCAATATGATGGAGAGAGCCACTCAGTGACGACGAATTGACAGACAGAAATAATCACAAATACTGGAGCGGTTCCCAAGGTAACAGCAATAACCTAGTCCCCGCACCGCGAAGAAACTTCCGGAGGACTTGGGCGACAACGACCAAACAAATACCTCAGTTTTCATTTGGTTTTTGAAAACTCAACATAATGGGGACTAACGTAATTTCTTGAGTACTTTTATGATTGGAAGAAAAATAAAATCAATGATTTTTGAAATTAAAAGAAAGTTGAACGGTATGACGCATCTTGATTTCCATATAAAGAAGTAGGTTCAAATATGGATTGTTTTGCATGGAAACTTTGAAGGCTTTTCCTCGAAAAAAAAATCACTTTTCTCGGTAGAAAACATTCTTCAAGAGGGCAGCTGATGTGTTTTGCTCTTCCAAATTTTATTCAGAGTATATCATTTTTTTCAATTCATTTCTATTTCTAATTTCTATTTCTAACGAGTATTATAAAAAAACATATGCTTCGTTGATACACTATATGTCGTGCATACACTATGCGTCTCTGGTACACTATGCGTCGTGCAGTCTTGTTACGATGCGTCGTGCTTTTCCAGTTGTTCCCTCTGACACACTATCTTAAGACCCTGTCGCCGATTTTGTCTAGAGCCTAGCGTAACGGATTGATTTTAATCTCGAATGCATCTGTCGTCGCTCATACCAATCGGTTTCCGCAACACCTTGTTACCACACGTGTGTCACATAGATAAACTCTTGATCATATTCAAAAAGAATTCGGCGCACCTTGAAATCGGTTCTTGTCCGATCACGTCATTTGCTCAGTTGTGCGCATCTTCGGATTCATATCAAAAAACTATTTGATACTTTGGTCCTCAGAACTGATAGAATGTTTGCGTCGTTCCGGTCCGCTCGCATCTCTTAGGTAAACAGATCTACATCCCGCATTAACTACGCTTTCTAGTCCCTCCCGTTTCATAATATGGATACTGTCCCCCTTCCATTGTGACCAATTTCGGCCCTTCGCCTCCAGCGGAAAGTTTCAGCGCGTTCTTATTGCGCTTCTACAAAATCATGAAAAATCACGTCGACGTTGAAACTAGAAGTCGTTGTCTTTTACCCAGCTTTCAGCTCCCCAATAACCCGTCGGATGTTTTTCCGTTCCTTCTCTTGTTTCCTCGACTGACTCGATGTTTTCTCGTTTCCTGAATGTGAAATTTATACTATATTCAAAAAGAACAATATTTTTTCAGTGTGTTTTGCAGATTGAACGAAATTTATTTTTTTAAAAAATCATCTTGTTCTTTAAGTGCTGGAAAAGCCCTGATAAGATTTTGCACCTAGTTTCTACAATTTCCTAATTTTGTTTACCTTAATAGAACCAGCTTAAAACCAGTATTTATAACCAATTATAATCTTGATAAAACTATCCCTACAAAATATTCCTTAAAAACCAATCATGATCCATACCTAACACTAACAATTATTTTTAGTTTTAGTTCCAGAAAAATTTGAATAAATCTTAGAAGACAGTTGTTCTCCTTTGGAACAAGTACCATACACCTAACTCGCGAATACCAGTATACACTAGATCCATTGAGGCTAGAAGATATAAGAGTAAGATTATGATTGGTTTTAGACTAAGAAGTTGCACGAATCTACCCGGCAGAAAATAAATAAAATAGCGTGACGAACAGACAGTGTGACTTACCTGAAATTACTCTTTTAGTAAGCTACCTCGAGCTTTAATTCATCTGATGCGACCAAATGTCTCGAACAAGACCTACTAACAAACTTAAACTTAAAAAATTAGAATAGAAACAAGATCAAAATAAAAATTGCAAAGTTGCAAAATGTTTGAAGGCATAGACAATTTAATAGATATGTCTCTACGTCTCAAATAATCAACTCCGATATTTCAAACGAGACGCGATACGAAAAATACCAAGTCAAAAACTGAACAACAGACCAAGCTACTACGTCGGGACCATACGCAAACCGCAAAGAGTATATGTCTTCAGAATCCTCTATGCAGTAGATTTTCATTCTCTGACATGAAAATAAATTTACTTATATCTAATATTCAAGCAATAAACTTCTTTATGCTTTATAGCTATACTATATAACAAAAGAA